TTTTTTAATTTTTGGTGACAAGTTAGGAAGGCTTCATTTTAAACTTGGATGACTTGGAAAATAACTCTCCTTGGACAGAAATAATCTTGTTCTACTCTTGTGAAGGTGTACATTTGGAGGGGTATGACTGAAATATGTTGTATTTGTAGTTCATGTATTATTTATTATGTTTATCCACACCAATAAGGAGACTAATAAATAAAGTTGATGTATCTAACTTGTGTGTGGTCTGTCGTAACATTATTGTTGTCAGTTTCCCTCAAAATAGTCAACAATCAGATAATCACTACAAATCAACATATTGTATTCTCTCCAATAAATAGCACTGTACATTATATATTTTCCATGCTTAATGCTGAAAATGACAAATATACAATTTACTAATCCGATACATTTTAAAAGTAGCGGATTAAAAATACGTAACTTGGTGGCGTAAACAAGAAAAATATATTAATATTCATCCCTGGACCTATATTACAATTTTCTTCGTAATCATTGATATTAATGTTATTTAAGTAGCCAGCTTCAGACAATTAACTCCACCATTTACGTAAGACCGATCCTGGGTTGTTTGTCACACGCCATTGCGGATCAGCTACAGAAGGCTTCATTATCAGATCAACTACAAGATCAGCTACGTAATGTGATAAACTAGGACGCTTGTTTTCAGTATGTACTGAATTTGTGTCTGTTTACCTAAGTCTAACAAAGATCTCATGTAAATATTATTAACAGTTTGATTGATTAATTAATTCATTCATTTATTATAGAAGAAACAAGTAATGTCTACATGCCTTGCCTCATCCGTGAAGTCAGCAAAAGTCTTCATGGCATCCAAGACTTCCTTGTCACCTGTAAGATAATGAAGTTAAAGAAGGACTAAAGTGGGGAGTAGGGAGTACTACTAATTTCTAAAAAACGTATTGGCAGGTGTAAAGAAACAAACGCACTGCATGAGCATTATGAAAAGCAAGAAAAAAGGGATGATATACAGAGAAACTATGTTGTTTTGTATCATTCAATTTTGCGTCATTTGCGTTGAGTGGGTCGGAAGGGAGTATGTTTTCAAGATGAAGGCAAGATAAAGATAATGGTTTTGTTGATGCTAATGACGTTTTCACGGCAGTGGCCCATTGTTAGAAGATTCGCTTACCTTAATATGCGTATTTTGATACTATGGCCGTGTGGCGCAAAACCACCCAGCATGAAAATCTAACTTCACGCAACTATCGTGTGTTATTTGCCTTTTCTTGCTGTCATAACAACTCGTTATACTTCACTACCTTCCAGATTCACTGTCTTGATTATTTTTTTGTCCTACTTAGGTGCAGAAAACGTTCCCCCATATCGGATGGGACCCCGTTCGAACCCACCTGAGACAGACACTGAAAGTGAGGAGACAAGGGGTGAGGAGACGACAAAGGTAATAAGTTCCGTTCATATTGAAATGTCGCATTTAACATCGCAAGTTAACATGTAAAGGTGTACATCGGTTGACAAATTATGACATATTTCTGATATTATTTCTGTAGGAGAGCGAGCGCAGCGGATTCCAACGCAGCAGCGGCAGCTACACCACCTCCCGTTAGGATGGTGATGGGTGACGTGGAGCTGGGAACGGGGGCAGACAAGTGGTAAGTACAAAAGAAAGTCATCATTCGTGGCGTCGGGTGGTGTAGTGGTTAGAGCAATCGACTATGAAGCGGGGAGACCCGGGTTCGATTCCGAGTCGTACCCGGGACATGTCTGAACATGCGTCCCGACGTTGTGCCCTTGGGAAAGGCACTTTACACGAATTTCCTCACTCCACCCAGGTGTGAATGGGTACCTAACTTCGGTTGGGGAAAGTCGTACATTGATGGGGGGGTCACCTTGGGGGGTCACCACACGAGGTCACCTTGTGGCACCGAATGGCAGCCGCACAAACCCTTGCGACAGTTACACAAAAATTTGTGGAACAAATATGTGTATCATGTGTGTACTGTTATTTGATTGTTGTGATCTGTATTGATTATTATGTGATACCCTGCATCGATTCAGCCGTATAAAGGCTGCGACTGTACTGCGACGGGTACTGTTTGGACAATAAAAACCATTTATTATCATTATTATTATCTGTCTCGTAGAGAGGTAGCACAGTGTGTATCTGTGCGGGCAGCATAGCGTCGAGCAAACGTCTGTCCCGCTGACCCCGTCAGTCTAAACAGATGACCAAGTCGATGGTTCATGGCCGACATAGACGCCACACCGCCTTACACCTGTGGTGGGGTGTCTTGGTTCGGGACACGCGTCCAAACCACTGTTGGTACATTCATTGTTCCAACTTGTTGGTACATTCTGGCTTGTGAACATATCATACTTTTCTGGGAAAATACAACATATCTGTTCTCTTTCTGTTTCAGTCACTGTCAACGTACTGACCCTTACAGAGGATGGTAAGGGCCATCCGGCCTTGGCGGAGAAGGAGGTAAGGCTCATTCATCATTTATTTCTATCGGACGGTCGTAAGTTTAAGATATACCTTATGTATGATCCCATCAGCTGCAATTGCGTACATTTGTAAGAATAATGACCAGGCGTTATGTTGGTAAACGACTTATAAAATGCACATTGCAATAGCTTAACGTTTTTTGTTCTTTCAGATCCCTGGCGAGGTCAGCATCAACACAAACGTTTTCAACATTGCCATTGCCTAGTTACTTTTTAATTCATGTACATGTACTAGTATTAGTTGTTATTTTGTATTCTATCATACTTTGTATAGCCGGTCTAAGCGCCCTTCGGCATAAGACAGTTTGATTGCATGAAATGTTAAAAAAAAGTTTGTAGTACTGAAGCCCGAACTACAAGTTCCAGTATACGATAGTTCTTATTTTGTATTCTGTCATACTTTGTATACGTATAGCCGGTCTAAGCGCCCTTCGGCATAAGACACTTTTATTGCATGAAATGTTTACAAAAAGTTTGTAGTACTGAAGCCCGAACTACAAGTTCCAGTATACGATAGTTCTTATTTTGTATTCTGTCATACTTTGTATACGTATAGCCGGTCTAAGCGCCCTTCGGCATAAGACACTTTTATTGCATGAAGTGTTTACAAAAAAGTTTGTAGTACTGAAGCCCGAACTGTGGTTGGTGACCACAAGTTCCACTATACGATAGTTCTTATTTTGTATTCATTCAGACTTTTGATAGCCGGCGTAACACAGTTTCATTGCATTTGTAGTAGTTTGTAGTAACTGGTTGGTGGCATGTGAACTGAAAAATAAAGACTGACCCTTCCTACTGCATTCGCTTGTGATAAATGAATGAAACAGGAACTAACATCAATAAGGTATTCAAAGTCACTTTATACGGAAGAAAATGATGTCATATACACAATATCCATGCAATGAAACATAGTTCCCTAAAGTCGAAATCCTAGTATAGATAAGTAATGAACGCTCCCTAAAGAAGTGGGAGCAATCATGTAGTCTTAATTCATTGATCAGTAATGAACAGTCCCCAAGCACGTGATATTCCCTAATTCATTCATAGAAAGCACATCACGTGACATCGTAACCATGGAGACAATTTGGTGATCGTTGTCATGACCACAGCCAAGCTAAATTTGCCCCGCCCCCTGTCCCTCTCTGTTTGGTTGTCTTGGCAACGTTACTTGTCAAGACAACCGTGGTGTGTTTACCGTGGTCTAAAGGTAGTTTTTGGGGCAGGAAAAAAGACTACTTAATTCATACTTTTCAGGCATTGGACCACCATATTCCCACTTTTTGGGCAGCATACTGGCAGCTTTTAGGAGTCAGGTGGAAAACGGCGGGATATTGGGAGTCTTTTGGACGGAATTGTCCCATGTGCCTTCCCAATGCAGCCCAAATGCTGCCCGCCAAAACCGCTTCACCGGCATTTCCCACCCAAACACCACCCTAATACTACCCTGGGACAAAGACTACCCATGCCCTATTGCTGCCCAAAATCATACCGATCAACACCTCCCCGCGCACTGTGGGGTGCCCTATTCACACAAATAGAAAACAGCTGTGCATGAAACAGAGGTCCCACAGTATCCTAAACATGTTCATGGGATAAATATATAGACATTTGGATATGTAGATAAGGATATGAATGAGAGACATATATGTCACTTGTGTTTACACATTTGTTTATATAATATAGCCTATAGGTTAATATTGACCAGACTTTACAATAGTTACATAGTGTACTTGTATTTCGTTGTATATCCATGACTTATATATTTTGAATTGACCTTCAGATGGACAAAACACCCGCTCGAAAACGTCGTCGGGTGTGTGTGACTCCCTCATCTGCAGGGACGGCAAGGAAGGCATTGCCTTTTGTTTCCCCTGGAAAAAGCCCATCTCAAAGAGTGAGTCACCCTCTTTTTCTAACATATGTAACATTGAGTATGTGACCTTCTTTATCCATCATGCTTTTGTCTTATGTTAATGTTTTATACATCCCACTTGCCTGTCTGTTTACATTGCTGTAGAAATTATATTTTTACCTCCGGGTAGGGATGTATATCCCGAGCGCGGAGGTTTTGTGAGGGAAGACGAAAATTGCGTTCGCAGCCGTTTCTCGCGTTTGGGTGGACGGATATGTCTGGGACTTGGTATACGTTTTGCTGTTGGGCTGTAGATGGTGCACGTTGTTTTGGTTTTTAGTATGTGTGTTTTAGTGCGTGAAAATAATGCGTTTAGACCGCCGATGGACACCCCTTTCAGTGTGAAAGTGGACCTCAGCTTTTGACCTTTGCATGTATAATCACCATTGAGGTCGCGACCACTGATCTGACCTTTCACACAGAGGGGTGTCGATAAATTCTTTCTTTGAAACTGTTCAGATGTGAACCACATGTGCCGTCAATCAACGTCTCATTATCGTGCCTGGTGGGATCGCGCGGGTCGCAGCCAGCCAACTTCCGGGTGGGCCAATGGGTTAGGGGTCAACGCCCTCTTGCGCAATTTCGGATGTTTTCGGCTTACAAATACCGTGGTATACTG